TGATCTAACTAGGTGAGATTTTTCCATTTGTTACCTGAGGTGCCCTGAATACAATGTGTTAATTCTAGCAATTGCATCTTGTTCACAAGACTTCACGACTGAACCTCTGTTCAGCTCTGTGAAGTGGGAGTATGTCTTTTTCCTGTGTTTGGGATCCTGAACTCTAGAAATGTCCTTCAGGTCATCTCTAGTGCTGCCCCCTTCCTTCCCCCACTCCAAGAAACCAAAAGTCTGGCAGGAGATTTTTCCACCTATACTGGATGGAGACAGAAAACCTGAATTAGTTTGTATGGCTTAAAACACCTTTGACAGGGGGATTTTCACACTGGATTTGTAAAATGTCCCAAACAGACCTGCCACTGTTGATCGTGAAGAGGACATGAGATGATGTCAGAACTGCTAGCTACAAATTTGACGTGGGAAGATTACTAGACTTATTACTGCCCTGCAAACTGGCATTACAAAATGGAAATGCAGCTTTGTCCTAGGGCCCCCATTCTTATACAGTATAAAAATGTTATTTAATAACTATTTGCCAAATAGAAGTACTTTGCAAGGCAGGACCACTTCTCTTTACAGGAAGAAATTGAAAGGAAATTGCAGAATCTATAATCGACGGAATTATAGAGTGCCTTGATATTTCATGATGGAGGACACAAGCGTGTGTGCGTGTGTGTGTGTGTGTGTGTGTGTGTGTGTGTGTGTGTGTGTGTAGGAAATTTTATGAAGGCTCCTCAGGTAGGATTTGTGAAGTTAACTTTCTGAGGGATGTTTGAGAATTTAGCATGTCTTACCTTTATCTAAGGAAATATCTAAGCATTGTTGAAAATCTTTATAAAAACATCAGTGTGTATTGCTAAACATGTGGCTCATATACTGATCAATGACATAATTATAGCAAAAGTATCCTAACGTACTCTCCTGCATAAGTACACATTTTCTAGACAATCACAGGAAAAAAAATCACCATTAAAGCACAGTGAAGATTCATATAACCACATAGTAAGTTTTAGAAAATAGGTAATTATTCATCTACACAATTCTTCTCTGAGTCTAAATTATTAATCTTTCACTCTCCCTTTGTATAGTGAATTATTTATTTATATTTGAGTATTAAAAGCTTTTATCAAAATCAAGAAAATTATTTAGATTTAAGAAATGCTATTAAGTTAGGATAAATATAAAGCAATATATGGTTAAATATGATGTTTTTAACATATAAATTTTATCTACATTTCTAAATTTTGTTTTATTTTAAAATATATAAAACTAATTCATGCAGAAAAAAATGAAGAGAACGCAGAGGTACAAGTAAACAGCTTAAATATGGAAAGTGTACTCAAACATGTCTTGTAAGAATATATAGGGTCAAGATATGGATTGCATAGTGAATTCATTTTGTGGAGAGTACAGTACTGTTGAAGTGATAGGCCTGAATGGTTGCTCTCCACCAATTCTTACATAGATATCTTCTGCTCAAGATGATGACATTTGAAATGAGGTCTTTCAAAAATTAACTCATAAAGGTAAATTTCTCATTCCTCAGATGAACATCATTACAGAAGTAACTTAGAGAGTTAGCTAGCCCTTTAGCCACATAGAGCAAGCGGCTGAAAGCTGTTTATAGAACATAACCTTTCTCCAGAACAAGGCCTGATGTTGGACTTTTAATCTTCTAAAATGGCAAGGAATAATTTTAGGTTGTTTGTGAAATCTGGTACATTGTGTTTTGCTGTAGATGCCCAATGAACTGAGAGAAGCTTTGTTCCATTTTAAAGAACAGGAATTTTTAAGGTATGTTTTGAGTATATGGCTATAAGACCTCCAAAATTAAAAACCAAAAATATTTCACTGGGAGTGATATCCCAGCATTTTAGAGAAATGTGCCTTTAGATCCCCAAGAATAGAAAATGTGGTTATTGAACCACACAATGTTTTATTCTTGTGAATTCAGCACAACAAATTCATCACATGAAGTGAAAATCAAACTCTAAAATTTGTAGTATAAGACATTAGATGAACATAAATGTATAAGAAGAAAGTTCACATTTGGCACAACTTGGAATATTCTCCTTCCTTAAATTCAGCAGCCTTTGCCATGGTTAAAATGTGTTCAGTTGTCCCATCCTGTGAGCTAGAGCACAGACTCTCCAGCTTATTTTCATGGAATTTTCTTTCTAGCGCCTAGCTCATCAAATGTCTGTGTTACCAATGAATTTACCCACCATGCCTGTGAATCGCAAGCCCCCACCACATAGCTGTCTCGTTCAGTGTCTGGTGAAAATGCTTTTGTTTCCACTATGGTGAATAAATCTGAGAAAGAGAAAACACATTTGCTTCTACTTGTGGCCCAAAAAGATTTTTTTTTTCTACTCTAAGAAAACAAACTTCTAAGAGGCCAATCCTAGATATTCCTTCACATACTTGCATTCAGAATTTCGCATTTTCTGACAGCATTCCTCTAGAGCTTTAGCTTTGATTAAATATTTACACTATAATGAGCACATCACCCTTCCAGTTAACTTGCAACTGCCAGAGGAGATGTACAAGACAGGAAAGAAAATACACAGTCCCGAGTTTTCAATTGTTTGAGAACCCAAGCATCTCTCCAAGTTTTTGTTTTGTTGTGATTTTGACCATTTGCTGTTTGTTTATTTTCTGTTTTTCTTATAAGACCCTTGCTAGCTCATCTCGTGAAGACTTCTAATGACTCTTGTCTATACACTAAGCTTGGCCAGATGGTTCACTTTGAACAGGGGACACTGGCAAATATGGGATAAACAGAAGCTTAAGGATCCCTTACAGGTCGGAGTTTTTTCTCAGCATTCCTGGGAGCAGTTTTCCCTCTCTGAAGAAGCCCAGGTTAGCTGATTAGAAGCAAAAGTATGAGAAGATCAACGGCCCCGGAAGAGCTTCAGGCAACACTCAGTCACTGGATCAAAGACTGCCATTTTGGGATGGATGGAGAGGAGGCTGGAGGAAAGGTTCAGAAAAACCTTTCCAAAACCCAGACCCACAAAATTCTAAATAAATATAATGTGGCTGTTGTGTGAATCCACTAATGTTTGGAATGGTTCACTACACAGAAAAGACAAGCTAACTTAAAATGGAAATGACAATTAAAGACATTAAGATTTAAAATAAGGCATAAATATATACGTATACATCTGTAGCTGTTGCATATAATTTAATATATCAAGTCAGTTAGGAAGAAAGAATAGTTATCTAAAATACCTTCTACATTTTCATCAGTTTACAGAACCTCTTCTAGGATTAGATTGTTGTTAGGCAAATATGAAGCCTGATTCCTCTGATCAAGTGATGGAAGATGATGGACCATCACTATGTGACTAAGCTCAGGTTCTTGCTTTTGCTCTTGGCCAGAGCTCAGTGCTCTATCCGTCATTGTGTAGATGGGAAGTCAGCTCTAATTTCTAATTTTCTCCATGTTTCTAAAATATGGGGGTCTTTCCCAGAGTTCCCTGTTTCTACATGCACTAATGTGCAATTTCCCCCTTCTTTACTTCCTTGTTCCCAGAAAAACACATTAAAATAGATCAGTTCTCTGAAGATATAGATTTTAGATCCTGCTTTCTGAAGTGCCAAGTGCTACACATCCACAGAGGGAACTTTGTGTGTGATTCAGAGGAAGAAAATGTGGTACTCCAGAGCTCAGAAACTAGTCATAATATTTAATAAAATATAAACTGCCAATAAATAAAACCACATAAAAGTGTCCTTTGTATATTTTCTTTAAGCAGAAATAACCCACAGAAGGTGAAATCTAAAAACTAACAGAAAGAAAGAGTATGATAGGAAACTGGATAAAAACCACTCACTATCATAAAGTGTGACAATCATTTGTCATGTGTCCACAATCTGTTGGTATTTCCCTGGTCCCAGTGGGACCCCTGGAGGAAAAATGTACAGTGAGAGAGGAAGTCAAGCTCTTTGCCTAACAGTGCCTGATATAATTGCACTGTCCATAAAGATGTTTGCATTTGCCTTTCAGGAATGTTTTCCTAACTAGCAAGACAGTTAACCATCTGAAGGCTGGCATCTCCTAGAGTGAATATGAATTAACATAGGGTGTACTCTGAGTGCTAAGGGAGCAAGTTATTTTCCGTCTAAAAAAATTCAATAACAGAGTCTATAAAGCAATCAATTTAAATATATTATTTAGTTCTCATTAATTGGATACATGTATCATTAACACATTAAACGCATTCTTTCAGTGGATAGCAGACTATTGAATTCCTAGAATAAACACTAAAAAATAAAGTATTTTGATTAGTAGAGAGCAAGTGTTTACCGATGATTTGTATGTCCTTGCTGCCAATCATCCCCAGCCTTCTTGCACCTGTGCTATACCCCTTGATCATTTCAGAACAGGTGAGAGCAAACAGAGGGACTGAGTCATTTCCAGGTGAAAACACTCAAGGTCGGGGATCTGCCAATTCTTTGTCAGGTTACCAACAGCACTGCGTGGTGCGATTCCAAGGACTGTGAGTGACTATTCAGAGTGCTGGAATCATCAAACTCATGTAGAAAATAAGTCATCACGATTTTATTTTATTTTATGCTATTTAGTTTTAAAGGTTAATGTTCTATTACAACATGACATGACCTATCCTGACCTGTACAGACAACTAACCTTTTATTAGACCAGATGAGGAGAGCTTAATATAAACACAGGAAGTATTTCACCATTTACCCACATTATTTAAAACAAACTGTGTTTTTAAAACAAACAGAAAAATATTACCATCAGAAAGCATCCCTTATTGAAACTCAGTAAAGGCACCTTTCATTCAAATGTCATTTGCTTTTTTTTTAATTTTGTAATTTTGCTGAACAAAAGTTTAATTATTAAATAGTACAGACTTCTAATTGGTATTTGCAAATCATAAATCCAGATAATTTAAAAATGGTAAGAAAAAAAAAAAGATTGCTAAGCCATAGCAGTATAAAAGGTCACGCAGCGATGATGCCCACTTTACCTGTCTTTCGGTGAGATCTAGATTCACTGCTATCTCATATCTTCTCAGTCTGGTCAAATAATTATGATGGGCAAATTCTGCCTCGAGTTCTCTGATTTGCTCCTTGGTAAAAGCTGTTCTTTCCTTTCTAGGTTTGCTGTTCACTTCTGACTTGTAATTTCCCTCCTGGGAATCTGGGAGGAAGTGAAAGAAGATTGGTGTTAATATGGTCAGGCAGATATGTGGGATCACACCATCCACAGTTACGGAATAATACTTCTCCACGTGCTTTGCTAGACAGGGAGTCATAGTGAGCAAAGACAGTAAGACTGCTCACACGGACACAGGGTGAGATAGGTTTTTCTTCTCTCTCTCTCTCTCTCTCTCTCTCTCTCTCTCTCTCTCTCTCTCGGTTTTCTGGTAGCTCATAACTTAATTGTTCGTTATACATCTATAAAATAAACACAATTTTTTAGCTTCTAAAAACGGTACTGTGGTAATACAATAAACCAAACCGTCATCAAAAAACAATTGTAGAAATAAAATGTTGTCTTGCTACATGTACATAAGGTTTAAGTATAAGTGAATATGGAATCCTCAAAGAAGTAATAATTGTGTATATGATTATTTTACCAAACAAATTACTTAGTGACTGGGTCTAAAATCCAAGGCCATGGGTCCAGAGATTAAAAACCCTAAGGGGTTCAGTGATTAACAGTGATTTTTACTCTTAAAGGGAACCTAAGTTCCTTTTCCAGTATTCACATCAAATGGCTCAAAACCATCTGTCACTCCAGCTCTAGGGGATCAGATAACCTCCTCAGGCCTCTATGGGCACCTGCCCACATGTACACACACACAGATATAAAGAAAAATGGTTAAATAAATAAATAAACAAACAAGCAGCCAAAGCTCAGACAAGCATATAAAAAGTATCGAAGAGTTGACTGTCACTTGTATTTTCATTTTAGTTCCTTGATTAAGACAGCTACAGTTTTCTCTTATGGCACATACTGGTTAGCCCAACATGGGATGTATGAACAAAAGTGTGCCCCTATGACTTACATGCAGTTTTCTCTTATGGCACATACTGGTTAGCCCAACATGGGATGTATGAACAAAAGTGTGCCCCTATGACTTACATGCAGTTTTCTCTTATGGCACATACTGGTTAGCCCAACATGGGATGTATGAACAAAAGTGTGCCCCTATGACTTCCAGGCAGGAAGTTTTAATTATCTACTGTCCATGTAGCGCAGCAGCCACATATACCAAACATCAATTCTCCACATCAAATCTTTAACACCATGTAAAATTACAACAGTAAGTTGGAACATAGCAATCCACATTTCTATTCAGGAATTAATACAGCACAATGCAGAATATTTTATTTATTTTTTTTAATATTCCTGAGACGTAGACTTGAAGGTGTTTTCTGTAAACTAAAAAACAGAATGTGCACAATATAGGAAAGCTAATCTGCATTCATCACGTAGACACGGATAACAGCCATATCCAACTCTAGAAGGCCATGTCACACTTATCCTCGGTGAAATATCAACATCATCAATAGAAGGTCATGCAAATCTTCTTCTGAAAATCATTACTGGTTTGTACTTGATGTTTATCACGTATACATTATTTGTGATATACTATCTAGTACAAGGAGCTCTCCCATGAGCCTAGGTAAAAGTGTCACAGAAATAATAATGAATAATTGAAAATATAAACACAGTATCTTAATTACTCTTTAATTACATAAATATAATACAATACGATTGACAAATTATCTCTTCATCCACAGTTGCTTTGTATCCAGTGATGATTGTTGATATCAAGAAATAATAAATGAGTTTTTTTTTTTATTATTCTTTCCTTTTCCATAAACCTAAAGGAAATCTATCTGGTATAAGGAGGGCACTGCAAAATGGAAACCCACTAAACAGGAAATTTTCAGGCAAGCAATTTTGGGTTGAATCTTACCCACATCTAAGCTGGTCAAATGTAATTTTCTCACAGCAGCAGCACTAGCAATGGTTTCTTACCTACATCTTGGCACATTGGCTATTCCTTTCATGTTAATATGTCACACAGGAGGTTTTCTTGGCTGGTCATCATTTATAATCATATTTCCAAGATGTCACTTAATTTCCATATTGACTGGGATCCCCACCCTGGCCGGTGAAGGTCAGTTTTCCCATCCAGGTCAAAGAATGTTTTGTGATATTCAGCCTGATTATACCTTAGGATACCACTGGAACTAGATGAGTTTATAATATGTGGCAGCTCACAGGTAGGCATGTTTACATGATGCCTACATACCTGGCTCAAAGTAGAGCCCAGAGTTCATCACACTGTTTTTAAGGTACATGTTTGACATCACCCACATTATTGCAGCATTGAGCTGTTCTGGGTGTGAATAAAATTTCCCAGTGATCACTTTTTTTTGTCCTATGGGCCATTCTGCAGATATTAAATTCAAGTCCCAGCATGGAATATTCAGCTTCAAGTCCTTCCCAGGACCATCCATGTTCACATGAATCAAGAGTTTCGCCAGCGGGCAGCCACTCTCACTGAGATATTGGCTTGTGGGTATTTGTAGGAAACAATGGTCTTTTCCCTTCAGCTAAACAGCTTTGGAAGCCGATGGCAAAGCAGCAAGTTTTTCTCCTGAGTTCAGTTTGAGTGAGTTGTGGTTCATGTAGTTCAGTCTGAGTGACTCACGGTTCACCCATTTCCATAAGTAAGCATGAATGAACAAATTCACATTGAGAGAAACCTATTAACCAGTATTTATTTTTCTTTCTTTGACATCGATCTCCTCTAGCTTTTGAAACAGTCCAGAGTATTTCATAAATACATCACATACACACAAAACTTGTGATGGGCTCATACACACAATCATTATGACAAGAAATATTCAGCAGCAGGTTTATATAGCCAGTAACTGCATTTCAGCAAAAATCTAGCTATAATTCAGTATTTCAATCTAAAAACAATTTATGGAATGACTGAATACCAGAGCAAAATTGCAAAATAGAGAAGTCCGTTGAACAAAATGAAGTGAGCTAGCATACTTATATTTTCAAAAATCACAGACGTTATCATTGAGTTGAAGCTAACACAAAGGGCAGCTATGTGCTTCTTGGAGAGAAATAGCAATGGAGTTAGGAAACACCATTGTTCCTTTATCCACTGCACACTTTCGTGGTGGGACATATGATTCTGCTGTTCAATTAACCCACAATGTTTCTAATCTTCATTTTAAAAAATGATCTTTAGAATTTTACCTTTTGTGCTTGCATTTCCTGTAATCTTGAATTTAAATTATTTCTTTATGCGTTCATGTTATCACTTGCTAACCCCAATTCCCCTATTATTGTCTCACTGCCTATTCTTTGCTGGAAATGGGTAGGACGTTTGAATGAGGCATTTGGCAAATTTCACATCAGCCTCCATATGTTTCACAGCTGTTTCAACCAAGGCAAACCTCTGTCTTCTCCAGCCTCCCATATCCTCTGCCAAGTGGTGGTGTTGAGGGGAAATCTGGAAACTGCCTTCTTTTCTTCTCTACCACCATAAACACAACCTCAGCATTTCCAGAATAGATCCCAGTGTAGAATATTACAACTGTTGTTTTTCATTTCAGATACCTTTATGTACCAGAGGATGCACCTTAGCATTCTTGTTGCATTGAGGGTATATTGTCTTATGTCTTCAGGTACTTTGGAAGGACCAGATCCATAACCTTTGGTTCCTGGGACTTTGCTAATTGAAGAAGTCTGCACTATGTCTGTGAGGGACTGAAACTGCCCTCCAAGGATCATTTCTGTCTAGTGTTTAAACTGTTCCACGTGTGATATTTCATTTCCCTTAGTACAAAAGGAACACAAAAGACAATGATTTTTTTTAAAGACAAGTGATATAAAGGAGTAATATGCTCATGCCTGGTACAGAATGCTTTTTAATAAATAAGATAATGCTTTTTAATAAGATAAATAATAAAATATGGTGGGTATAGAACCTATAATTTAGCTATGTCTATAAAATACTGAAATGGAATTATTTCATTTTAGAACGACAAGTAATTCCAATTTCCAGAAATATTTCAACATCAATTCATCTATTCTCATACCCAAAAGAAAATAGTTAATTAATCCAAGTTCAAATATGTTTCTCTAGGGATCTGGAAGACAGAAACAGAGGGAAGTTGCAAAAAGTAACATTGCAGACTTGTTCTTAAACAACACAAATTTAATACATGATACAAATTAAATAAATAAATTAGGTATGAAACTTTTGAAAACAAGCAATTCAAAATTTGTATCAGAAAAATCCATGCTCCTAAGTCCTGATGCTTCATATATGGCTGGTTTCCCAAGGCAGGCAATGGCCCGCTGTGGCCCCTGACTGCATTCCTGGAATACACTGGGAAGCATTATAATTTATTTATTCTTGCTTCCTCCTGTCCCCTTTGAAGTTTTAAGATGGCAGTTAATGGAATTTTGGCGAATTTGAGTAAAATAATTGTTGCATCATTCCATTGCTTGTTGCTTTTGTGCAACTATCAATATATGGACTCAGTTTTCTTTACTGACCGTTCTTAGTAAAACTCCTTGAATTTACGTAATGAGGGATAAGCAAGAATTTCAATTTTGATCATTGCCAATCACTATGTAGTACTTCCTGATTGGAGGAAAACAACTCAATGGTTCTTTTTCCATGGCAAAAACACAAAGTGAAAAATCCACAAAGAAGTAGATACATTGACAAAATTTAACTTTATTCAAAATATTGTTCATTCTAAATACAATGAATACAAAGTATTTTAGTAAAACAACAACAAAAAAGGTCAAAAGCCTAAAGACACAAAATGTTTATGTAAATCCTTTACTGAAGTTTGACACAGATTTGATTTTGACTCTTCTCATTACAGATTTCCAGTTACTTAATTCAATATTCACACTAGCATACATTTTCTGGGTAAGATGTTATGCAATTGCCACAAGCTGGAGGCTAGTCTGATCTCAAGAATGAGATTCTGTTTAAATAAAACCAAACTACAAACAAACAATCAAATCAACTCTGGTTACAAGCTGACATGATGGTATAAACGTGTAATCCTAGGACTCAGGCATTAAGACAGAGGATGAAATAATACAAAGAAAAAGCTGATAGAAAAGAGAAAAGGTGG